AAATATTACCTTTGAGTACTTCTACATTGTATTTGGGTGGCTCACAGTAAGATCAGATACAACAAAAACCACAAAATAACTATAATGAAAAAAAATATTAAGTTTTAAAAGAGAAATGGGGAGGATAGGCAGACAAGCTACCCAGACCCTCTTCAACAAAGAAAAGAAAAACCAATTGAAGACAGAGATACAGACAATAATCCTGGAGCCTTGAGCTTTGAAAGGAAGTATACAGAAGTGGATTAGGCACCAATTAGTGGAAAAACCTGAATGAAAACAGGACCTAAGAATAGGCTCTGTTTGCCAAGGACGGCAGGGACATATGGGAGGTTGACAACTGGAAAGGAGACAGGTGGTGGGTATATCAGTGCTGCCAACCAGCGAATAGAGGAACACAGCCCAGTACCCTGCTTACTTGTATGCAGACAGCAAAACAAAGAAAATGAAAATCGTGGGCAAGTCACTCCAATATACAATCACCAATCAAATATAAACACAAAAACGGCACAATGCCTCGGAGACAAGAGAGCATCACAGTGCACACAAAGAAGCAAGATAGAGTGGTATAAACAAGGGAGCAGGACACATACCCAGAACACATCCCTGAGGAAGACGCAACATTTGAACTACTGGATAACAAATTCAAAGGATTATATTTAGGTATATTCAACGAATTGAGAGACAGATCAAGGAAAACACAGAGAAAACCCTAAAGCAATTTCGAAAAACAATACAAGAACAAAATGACAAAATAAATGAAGAATTAGAAATGATACAAAATCTACACATAGAAATCCAGAATATTAATACTAAATTTTCAGAAATAGATAAGACATCAAATGGGCAAAGGAGCAGAATTGAATCAATGGAAGAATTAGAAAGATTGAAGGCACATACCTCAATACTTCTCTGAAAAGGGATCAATCAGAAAAAAGATCAAAACAAAATGAAGAAAGCCTAAGGTTCACGTGGGATACCATCAGAAGGAATAACCTAAGTGTAATCAGAATTCCAGAACAGGAAGAGACAAATAAAACCACAGAAAAAATTGTCAAAGATTTGTTGGGAGAGAATTTTCCTGGTTTGATGAAAGACAAGAATATATCCATTCAAGAAGTCCAACGAACCCAAAACAGGATAGACCCCAAAAGAAAATCACCAAGACATATCATCATCAAACTTACCAAAACCAAAGACAAGGGAAGAATCCTAAAAGCAGCATGGGAAAAACAAAAAGTTACCTACAAGGGGCAACCAATAAGACTAAGCTCGTATTTCTCAGCAGAAACCATGAAGGTGAGAAGACAATGGAATGGTGTATATATAATAACCCTGGAAGAGAAAAATTACCAACCAAGAATTATGTACCCAGAAAAATTGTCCCTCAAATATGATGGTGAAATTAGGACATTTCCAGAGAAGCAGAAATTAAGGAAATTTGTTAAAACCAGACCAACCTTACAAGAGATGCTAAAGGGAGTCCTTTGTACAGAGAACCAGCAACAGCAAACAGCAACTGACCAATAACATACATAATGACATAACCCAGAAACCAACCCAGCTATGTAAGTATCCAAAGTAAATAAGCCTACAAGATTGTAAACAGGGAAACAGAGACATCAATTGACAAATGAGGATAACTACAAACCAAAAAGAGGGAAAAAAATGTGTAGTTATAGAACTTCTAAATGGTAGGGAAGTCAAGACAACTACAACATAGAATGGACTGTTCTAAACTTGGGAAGAAACTATAAATCACAGGGTAACCTCAAAGAAAAATGATAAGCCTTCACATCAAAATAAAAAAAGAGGACCAGCACAAATATTTAGCAAATACGAAAACAATAGCAAGGAAGGAAGCGATAACATGATTCATAAATAAAATGAACTCAGCACAGAAAATTATATGGAACAAAGAAATCAAAACCATGAAAAAGCACATAACAAAAATGACAGCAACAAATTCGTACTTGTCAATAATTACATACCTGGCAAGGGACTTATCTCTAAGATTTATAGAAAACTCCAAGGCCTCAACAGCAAAGGGATTAACAATCCAGTTGAAAAATGGGCACAAGACATGAATAGACACTTCACAGAGAAGAAGATTCAGGTGGCCAGCAAATACATGAAGAGATGCTCAAGATCACTGGCCATCAGAGAGATGCAAATCAAAACAATGAGATAACGTCTCACCCCACCACTGATGGCAAGGTTCAACGAGACAGAAAATAACAAATGCTGGTAGGGATATGGAGAGATTGGGATTCTCACACACTGCTGGCGGGACTGTGAAGTGATCAGCAGTATGGCAATTCCTTAGAAAGCTAGAATTGGAGATACCATTTGACCTGGCAATCCCATCAGTTAAGTATATACCCTAGAGAGGTGACAGCCAAGACAGGAACAGATATATGCATACACTCGTTCATTGCAGCACTATTTACAATAGCAAAAAGATGGAAACAACCTATGTGCCCATCAATGGAAGACTGGATGACTAAACTATGATACATACACAAAATGGAATGCTATGCCACACTAAAGAAAAATGTAGAGTCTGCAAAACACCGCATAACGTGGATGAACTTGGAGGGCATTATGCTCAGTGAAATAAGTCAATCACAGAAGAACAAATATGGTATTAGTTCATTGTTGTGTAGGGTCAAGGAGAGGTTTAAATATGGAGGGAAACTTTCTTTGTTGGTTGCCAGGAGTGGGAGGGGTGGGGAGGGAACACTGCAAAAAAAAAAAAAAACTATTGATCCATGTCACTTTAGTTTTGTGTATTTCACTATACATAAATTATATTTCAATAAAATGCATTTAAAAAGAGAGAGAAGAGGGATATAAAAGTTGTTAAAAGGAAAAGGAGAACTGTTGATTTTTGTTTTTGGTTTGTGACTTTGGAGACCCCTGGTGTTAAAGGATAGAACAGCTCCATGTCTTTTTCTTGGCTATAATCATTATGGAAGCAGATTGCCAGGCCTGTTTCTTCTGTATGACATAGTGCTTAGGGCATTTGACTGCTAACCAGAAGGATGGCAGTTCAAATCCACCAGCCACTCCTTGGAAGGAACATTAGGCAATGTACTTCTGTAGAGATACTGCCTCAGAAATCCCAAGGAGGGGTTGCTATGAGTCAGAACCGACTTGATGGCAGTGAGTTTGATTTGTTTTAGGAAACTTCAAATAGGATAACAGTGTTAATTGTTAACAGTGTTAACAATCACGGATGTCCTAGGCTATGGGAAGCTACTGAAATTGAGTCGAAAACTTAGTTATGAGTTTCTTGACAAAATAGTGGGTTTTTTCCCCCTTAAAGGCATATAAAAAAAAAAAAAAAAAATCCAAGTTAAACCTGGAGAATTTCTTGATGTAAAAAAGAGCTACTTCTTATGTAGTTACCTCTTGATTTTATAAATTAATAATAAAAAAAGGGCAGAGGATTAAGAATAGTAGGTAAATTTGGAAACTACTTATATTTAGTTTTGAAATGTACTTCACATGGATGAGGCTAATGTGAAATTTCTAACACTCCAAAAAATGAAATTAAATGGTGCAGACCTTACTCAGAAGAAACTGGCAATAAGATTCCAAAGCACCAAAGACATTTTAGCATACATTGTTTCAAAATTTCCTGTTT